TATATTCCTTCATTTTACATTATTTTTATATTTCTTCAATCAGAAATAATCATATCCTGAAAATTTTCAATTAAAATAGAACCTTACATATAACATTTATTAGAGAATGCAGTATGGGATGTATGGTAGGCATTATAAAATGATTTCATTTCACATATTAAAAAGATTGAGTTTATATTTTCCTATTACAATTTCAGAGTTTTGAAATTGAATGAGTAGATCTCTCTTTCTGGGAGTATGTGTATCCCAGGAGGAAACTGTAATAGAGATTATAATTTGAAAAGGAAAATAACCATGTGCATTTCAGTATAACAAAATTTTTCATAAAGTACTATTAGAAAGTACTTTATATCTTCTAACAATCCAGCAAATATTCAGTTTGCCAAAAAGATAATTGCATCTTTAAAAAATTTAAACTGTATAATGTGTTTAACTTTGAGCTATTTTTGAGTATTTAAGCCTCACATATACATTTTTAACTTTCTTTGCTCCACTGGGCTATGCAATTTTTGCTAGTGCTATACTTCAAAAGGTATCTACTAGCAGTTAATTCACTAGTTATACCTGCCCAATATATGAATACACATAAAAGGGTTTTTAAGATCAATGTTCTGGTGCCTGGGTAGATAGTTCAGTGGATAAGGCATTTGCCTTGCACGCTGCTGGCCTGTGTTCAATCACTAGCACCTCTTGTGCTCTCCCAAGCCTTGCAAGGAGTGATTCCTGAACTCAGAGTCAGGAGTAAGTCCTGAACACAACCGGGTGTGACTTTATAAAATAAAATCAGTGATTTTTGTTTTAATAAATGTCATTTGATAGAGTAGATAGCACAGAGCAGTGTTCAGATTTATAAACATACTCATTGTATTCTAATAATCATTTCCAATAAGTAAGTAAAGTAAAGGCCCTCCCGTTGATCATCGATTTGCTCGAGCGGGCCCAGTAACGTCTCCATTGGAGACTTTGTTGTTACTGTGTCTGGCATATCGAACACTCTCGGTAGCTTGCCGGGCTCTCCGAGAGGGGCGGAGGAATCGAACTCGGGTCGGCCATGTTGGCTGCGTGCAAGGCAAATGCCCTACCCACTGTGCTATCGCTCATTTCCAATAATAATAAGAAAATTTTATTTCTTTGTATAGGTTCTATTGGCATATAGATGTTTTAATATGGGTCATTCATTTCAAACTAAGAGTAAACCTATATCTGTAATTTCATACCTAAAAACTGAGTGACTAAGTAGCTAAGAAACATGTTTCTGATTATCCAGAGAGCGGTTAAGATAAGATAAAGCATAAATTATTTCATTAGGGCCTACTTAAATAAAATTTAATTTTGAATACTCTCCCATAAGAACACTTTAATCTTGACTAGATCATTTACATTTTCTTATCTGTTTTCTCAGCTACAAAATTATGAGCCATAATATCTAGTCTACAATTTTTATGAGGATAAAATTATAGAATAGTAACAAGCTGATAAAATGAACATGTTATAATAATAATAATAGAGTTAGTAGTAGGAAAGCAGGAAAATATGATTTTCTTGCTATTCTGATCTTAATTCTGTGTTTTAGATTTGAGTTGTATTTGGAGCCTAGAATATTTAGTTCTACCTTAAAGTAAATGTTAATACTACCTTAAAGTAAATGTTAATACAGATAAAAAATCATCACGTTTTTTCCAAAATTATCTAAAATGTTTTCAAATTTTCCTTAGGAAAAATGTCATTGACATTTATAGAGATATGAAGATCAAATGGTGATGTGTCTTTAATGAAACCTAAGTATACTGATATGTAATTATCACTTTTTTAAATCCAGTAGAATGAGAGCATGTAAAAGACCCTTTGCCCCCATCCTACAATAAGTAGAACATTGCCCTGGGCTTAGAGAAGATTAAATTTTAGATACTTTCTTTCTTACACCAATTTTACCTTCATTTCTTATTAAGTTATGCTTCCTAGCAGCTAACCTTCCCAATTTTTAAGACAGATATAATACTAGTCCTTCTTTGCCTACAAAAGACTGAAGTGAATTAACATCTATATTAGTCACAACAGCCTAAGTGATGTTGGGTTAATAAGCATTCACAAGGTGAGAATATCCTGTCAAATTGTGCTTTGCTTATGCAAAGTTAATAAGTGGTCTAGGTGATTCCCCAGACCAACTATCCTTTATGTGTTATCTCATCATCTTGCTCTGCCACAACCAGAATGCCTATTTCCACTAACATCATTGCAGTAGCAGCATGGTTTGGAGAGTTTAATACCAACAATTAAATACGTCCACCTGGAACTGATGAATATAATTTGCACTTAAATTTTACTGTTTAAAAGCAAATCATATGCCTGACACATAATTCTGAGATATGAAAAACTCAACTCCTCCCGTGAACCCAGAGTAGAGGAAAATTATATATTGATAAACTTGTAGTAATTTTTAAATAGTAATTGACAAGGATGGTCTCTGAAAAGAATCTCAGACCAACCAACAGCAGGAGAGATAGTGTACTGTAGCAAGTGAAGATCTTGCCTTTCACTCAACTGAATGGGGATCAATCCTCATCATCCCATCTTGCCCAACCTCCCCCCCCCCCCCACCTCTGCCCCAGCACCTCCAGGAGAGCAAAGCCAGGAGTAATCCCTGAGTATTTCCAGGTGTGGCTTCCACCAACAAAAACAAAGAGCAAACAAATAAATAAAAAAACAGAAAGAATGTCACACAACATGACAAATTTTATCTTCACTATGTGGCTGAATGTTGGTTTCCCAGAGGGGAAATCAGCCAATTAATTTCTTAGTTCATCAGTTTATTAGGCTTATTAGTATAGTGCCTATATACACTGAATTTCTTTGCCACACAAGTTCTTTTGGTGCTGCCTTCAAATCGTCAATACTTGTGCGCACATTCTTTAAAGCAGTAACCTTCTTAGAGCATTATACACCTTTACAGCATTACTCTGATCTGACTAACCAGGGATATCTGGGAGGCAACACATAACACCCCAAACACCACCACTACCAAGAAAGTTTGGAGCCAAAGAGTGCCTGATATTCTAATATACAATCTTGACTTCTTGCCTTTAGGTAGGTTTCTGTGAAGCAATTTATCCCAGTTTCCTGTGACATGTCACTGATCTCTGGAGACCACATCTCTTCCTTGATAATTTTCCTACCTGCACTTTTTCCCTCATCCCTTAGAGATATTTTCTGAGAACATTCTCAGAAATGTTCAAATATCAAGATATCAAAATATCATTTTCACAAAATACCCTGGGTCTAGTTCTGTTTGCAGGCTAACCCAAACACTGAGTCCATCGATCCTAACTTGCACAGTCAATAATCCCTTTCCTGGTACTAAGGAAGAGCTCTTGTCACTGAAAGAAATATTTCCAGTGTCATTCAAGTATGGCTTTGCTATAAACATTAAGCAAAAAAAAGAAAAACACAAATGAAAATAAAATACAAAGGTTTGAAGCAGTAGTCCCAAATTTGGGACTCAATGTTGAACTAGATCATTGATGTTCAGCATACTCTCCCTCTACAAAGTACTGACTTAGCTTCAGAAATGAAGAGATGCCAAAAAGTTCACTTTGATTCAATGCAGAAGTAATGAATGGGGCTGTGGAAATTGTGGGGTAAGTCCAGACCCTTGCATAGGTCTAAACCTTATACCATGGTGGTTCCTCAAATACATCACCAGAAGTGAACACAGTACAGATCTAGGAGTAAATATGTGCATTACTGGCTTTGTCCACAAAAATAAAATTCAAAAAGTACATTTATAGATAAAATAAATTGAAATTGAAGATGGCTTTGATGGGCATTTTTAATATTTGAAAAATAAAAATTACAATGTTTTAGCTCTTAAATTTGGAACACTAAGAGATTTTTTGTGAAGTTTATGAGAATGCTGTGTTTTACATGACCCTGTTACATTATCTTGGTTTTGGTCAGTTTCAGTATTTCGATCCCTAGAACCATATCCTAAAAAGCACGTGAGTTATGTTTTATGAAGAAAAGGAAAACATAAAAGTCGAGGGGGGTTGCAATATAAGTATAACATAAACTTTTCGTATACCATATACAATTCTCAGCACAGTATATAGTCTTGCATTCACTAACATAATTGATATCTGAGCACAAAGCCAGGAGTAAAACCAGAGTACATTTAGGCATGCCCTCTCCAACAACAACAACAAACCCCAAAATCAAATTTTTAAAAAATGGTAACATAAACAAATATGCAAGAAAATATTTAGTTCTTAGTAACCATGCATACAAAATTTCTAATAAGTAAAAAATAAAATTTTCTTCAAATCAACTCATTTTTCATCACTTATTATTAAATAATCTCTAAAACGTCAAAGTTCAAGGTCAGGGAGATGTATCTGAAAGCCTGAGTCCATGCCAGGCACATGATGGGTGCCAGTTTAATCCAATGGTGTAGTTCAGAGAGCTCTAGCACCAATTAGTAGCCTTCCCCTAACAAAAGTCAAACCATGCCCAGTATCTTTGTTGTCTTAAGAAAACAAATTATTCCTCAATGAAACATTTCGTGTAATACGTTTTAATGTATACATTGATAAATACAAAAGAAAATCTCATATAGAAAAAAAAAGGACATATTTTAAAAAAATACCAAATAGTGAAAGATCAGCCTGCCCTAAATGAAAGCTTATATGGTTCATCAAACTGTCACTGCTACAATACCTAATGATCAAAGCTTCATCACCATACTTTGTCATCATCCTCAGACACAGGATATAAAGTGCTCATGACTGTAAGAAGTCCTAAGTTCTACCCAGACAAGCAGTATCAAACCTCAGAAATCAGTATATAAAACATTAAGTTTCCGATGATTCCTATACAGGTTAATGTTAAGAAATATGAGAATCCTCTCTGAACAGAACAACTTTATTCTAGTGATATTATCGGGATAATATAGTCATGAATAGTAACTAATTCAATTACCTTTTGCCAAGAATAGAGAAAAATTTTATAGATTAGTAGGATGATTTTTACCTGTTCATCTCTTCAGAGAGCAGATAGATCACGATGACTGGAGTTCATTTGCTTTGTGATTAATTAAATTCTCTCCGTGATGAGGTTCCCAGTACCCTAATATCTCCTATCTGATTCTAGAAAAACAAAAGAAAATATGATATACAATAATTACAGTGGTCAATGGTTGAAAACTATTCTCTTTCCAAGTAATTCCTTCAATTTGTTCGGTGATCCTAATATCCTCACTCAGTCTGAAATCTATATTAGTAATGTAAGTATGCAAAGATGATTGAACAATCTTAAAAGAAGAAAAAGACACAATGTTTATTCCAATTACATCTGGTGCTTTGTAGCATTTGTATTTGGCTGTGTGGAATAATCAGCATCATTCCAAGCAGTTAGTAGTGTGGGATTTATTTTCCACCTGATCAAATTCTAGAGAAAACAAAACCAGAGTGAAAAGTGATCAAGATTTAGAACCCAACACATCTGCATTTGAGACTTGGCTTTGTTATTCTGTGTTATTATTGTCTCATCTGGAATGAGGTATCTAGCCTCTCTGGATTTTAAAGTACACCCCAATAACTGAAGAATATTTATCCTCAAAAAACAATAACAATGACCAACATATGTTGACCACACCATCCCCTGTGCTAAAAATAGCTTTATATGTAGGCATGATCAAGTTAATACTAGCTGAAGCCCTTTTATTTAAGCCCTAAATAGTATTATCTATTGCATTATGCATATGAGAAAACTGAGATAGAGTATTAAACTGATCTTTTAGGAAAACAGATAATGAATTGAAGACGAGTTTTCTGGTCCTAACAGACTATTTTAGACATGTTTGGTTACTAAACTCTATACCTATGGATGACTAGATTTACAGGAGCCACAAAGAATATTATATACTACCCAGGTTTATTCTCCAGCACCCCAAATGATCCCCTGAGCACTACCAGTAGTAATTCTTGAGTACAGAGCTAGAAATAACCCAGAGCATAACCAGATGTGGTCCCCAAACAAATAAAGCAAACATACAAAAAATCTCAGCTACCTAGCTGATAACAAAGAGCTTCACCTTTTCCAATGATGCTAATTACTAATAAAACTATGTCACGTCTACTACCAACACCAATTTTAAACTGTCACTGCAAGTGCTTCTCCTAAGTGTATCTTCTTTTAATGAACTGTAGCACTGAAGCACTGTCCTCCCGTTGTTCATGTCGTTCATCGATTTTCTCCAGCGGGCCGAGTAACATTGTGAGGCTTGTTACTGTGTTTGGAATATAGAATACATCACGGGTAGCTTGCCAGGGTTTGCTATGCAGGTGAGATACTCTTGGTAGATTGCTGGGCTCTCTGAGAGGGGCGGAGGAATCGAACTCGGGTAGGCCGAGTTGACCATGCGCAAAGCAAATGCCCTACCTGCAGTGCTGTAGTTCCATCCTGAACTATAGTCAAGTAATGTAGTCAGCCAATAGCTTTCTCACAAATGGTTTCATGTGATTTCACTGGAATAAGATAAAATAAGGACATAGAGAAGACTTGCCTGTTTTATGGACTCAGAATTCCACTGAAGTACCAACTTTGCATTTTGGTTAGCCACATAAATGAGAAATATGAAAGCAACATATTAAATATAGATGATTACTAGGGTAATACATACTTAAAATTCAAGATTTTGAATTTTGTAGTGTGTGTGTGTGTGTGTGTGTGTGTGTGTGTGTGTGTGTGTGTTTAGATATATAAGCACTGCTGAGACAGCATTTGTCATGCCATTTGACTGCTCTGGGACCCAGGACTGATATTATATGAAGCAGTTGACAATTCAGTAAAAAATAATCTGATGTTTTCCCAAAACTAGTCAATAATAAATGAGTCTCAGAATTTAAATCAAAACAATGGATTTCTCACAGTACATTATTGATAAGGCACACTTATTCTAACAACATTTTCAAAGGATAATGTATTATTTACTGCCACTACTAATAAACACTCCAACATAAATGAATGGATTAAACTAAATAAATACAAGAGTCTTGCACATGTTAAACATTATGCAGAATATTTTACTTTGAATTTGGGTAAAAAGTAATGTGTAACACAGTTTCTGAAATTCATGATAAAATATATGTATGTATACTATACCTGCCAGTAAACCATGCTTAAAAATAATAGCTCAAATTCCATATAACTTAATACCAAAATACTCAATAACTCTTCCATGTGAATATCAGCACATTCAGCTTACCTGAGTAATGCAGAATGAGTAACGTGACAAATAAGTCTTCCATTAAATAAAGTGATATGAGGCTAGAATACTATTTTTAAAGGCATATTTTAGAACTTGATATGTGGCAAATGCTTTGCTCCTACTTTATTTATATTTTTCTTGATTTAATATCCCATTAAAATATTGCATACAGTTTTACTCCATGTAAATACTTTATCAGGTTAACCACTATACAGTGTCCCATCTGTCCAAATGTGCATCTGTCCATTCCCTTTCTTACTTCCTTCTGGTAACCATTTATTAGTATTATAATCTAAAAGTTCATTTTATTTATTTCAGTTTTTTCATTTGTTTGTTCTCTTTATATTTTAAATCCTGTAATCTAAAAGTGATAGGAATGTTAAAGAAGAGACATGAATAATGCATGCATTCTTGGTTGAAAAAGGAGAAAAAAAGTGGTGAAAGAGGGAGATTTCTAGTGAACCCAATTACTATCTTCACTGCACTGCACTGTGTCTCATTGTTCATCAATTTGCTCGAGTGGGCACCAGAAACGTTTCACAACAAATGTGAGACTTGTTGTTACTCTGTTTGGCATATTGAATACATCACGGGTAGCTTTCCAGGCTTTGCCGTGTCGGCGAGATACTCTTGGTAGCATCCTGGGCTCTCCAAGATGGTGGAGGATTCAAACCCGGGTCAGCAATGTTGGCCGTGTGCAAGGCAAACACCTTACCCGCTGTGCTATTGCTCTAGCCCATTACTATCTATAAGGATTATATTTCAGCATGATTTTAACCATGTTATTTTTTCCTCTAATGTGTGTTAGACTGTCTACTTAGAATACCATATTTTAAAAAATATTTTACAATTAAATTGTATTGTAATTGTAGACTTACATATAATTGTAAGAAATAGAGTTCCTTTATACTGTCTTGTGGTTCCTTAATACATTGTAAAACTACTTTGCCAATCAGATAAAATTATTAGTCTAATGTTCCCATGTCATTTCAAACAAGTCATTTAACTCAAGTCCTGTTGTACAAAGTGGTATTTACTATTCTTATCTCTTGAAATGTAGCTAAAGCATTGTGTTTGCCAAGAGTTCACTGATTTTTGTCTTTTAAACTAGTGTATAGTAGTCCAAAGTATGTGTATGTCACTACTTATGTGTGCCAATTTCAGTTTTAGGCTATTAAGTATTAGCTGGTAAGATTATTTTGTACAAAATTTTCTGTGCATGCATTCAAAAATAAAATTTCTGTGGTTGGCAGGGTGAGAGGGAGTAAATAAAATGGAATACAACTGGATGAACATATTGTTGTTGAATGTTTACTTTCATAGGAAAATGCCAAAACATTTTCCAAAGTTGTATACTTCTTCATTCTAACCTGCAATGTGTAAGTGATTAAGTTTCTTCACATTCACACCATCACTTGGTATTTTCATTATTTTTTTTTTATTTCAGCTGTGGATGTGTAGTGGTGTGTTATTATGGTGCTAATTTGCATTCCTCCAATGATTAAAGGTGTTGAACATCTTTTTCATGTGATTATTTGCCATCTGTTTATCTGGCTTTTCAGTAAAATGTTCTTGTCATCTGCCCATTTTCTAAGTGTAGTTTTATATTTTCCTTTTGAAATCTGAGAGTTTTAAAAAATATCATCTAGATACAGCTTCTCTCTTATATATCTCATTTGCAAATATGTTTTTTCAAATACAGTCTAAATTTTTATTTTTATTTTCTTTATACAGATTTCATAAAGCAAAAGATTTTATACTTTGAAGAGATCCAATATATCAATTATTACGTTTAAGTGTGCTTTTCAGTATGCTTTACAGTATCAAGTTTAAGAACACTTTATTTCTTAAGATCTTTTTTAAGTTTAACATTTTATATTTATTTATTTAATGTTTTGTTAGTGAATCTCAGTGGGGTACAGATACATACTTATAAACTTTCATGCTTGCATTCCAGTCATACAATGATCGAGTACCCATCCCTCTACCAGTGCCCATTCTCCACCACCAATGATCCCAATGTCCCTCCCACCATAACATTTTATATTTAAATGCCTATGTTTAAATTTATTTTTGTTTGAAATTTAGATTGAATTTGATTTCTTCTGGCTGTTCAATGTCCCAGCGTCATTTGTTGAGAATCTTTCCTTCTGTTTCAGAGGTAGAACAGGGCGGGTAATTGGGACCTAGGTGGAGGAAAGTGGGTACTCTAGTGGTGGGTATGGTATTGACATGATGTATGCATGAAGCTATCATTAACAGTGTCTTAAATAATTCAATATAGATTTTTTAAAAAAAGATTTCAGCTTGGGGTAAAACAAAAAAAGGGAGGGGTGTATTTCTGGAAGTTGGGACTTTATTTGGCACTTCTATAGCACTGTCCTCCCATTGTTCATCGATTTCCTTGAGCAGACACAGTAACATCTCCATTATGAGACTTGTTGTTACTGCTTTTGGCATATCTAATACACCACCAGGGGCTTGCCAAACTCTGCCTGCAGGCAGGATACTCTCAGTAGCTTGCGAGGGTCTCTGAGAGGGACACAGGAATCGAACCTGAGTCGGACGCGTGCAAGGCAAACGTCCTACCTGCTGTGCTATTGCTCCAGCCGATTTGGCACTTCTATATGGAATCATTTATAGCAACATGGTCTCATTTCCGAGTTCTTCCCTTCTATCTTAGCTTTTCTCAGTGGGAACGAGCTTCCTCAGGCTCCATAGAGTGACTTCCAGGATCACATGTTGCAGTATCCCTTGCTGCCTGTGTTCAGCTCGCTTGCTATTGTCATAGGCGTTCTGCTGAATTGGAGGAGGAAGAAGCCTACTTGCATCACCTCCTCTAACTAAACAGGCTCATAAAATGGTTGGGCTTAACG